AGGTAGCTCACATCAAGGTAGCGGAGAAACCGGTTTCCCCAACAGCCAGGATATGTTTATCACCCTGGACCTGGAACCAGAAACCCCCGAACTCACCCAAGGCGTGCTCCCAGACCCTGAGGGCACACAAGGGACCTCTGGTGAGTGTACCTTTGTAAATATTACACATGGTTTAAAAGCAAGTGTGTTTAATGATTAATGATTAATTTGCCCTGGCAATCGGGGCCAGTACAGCTACTGGAAAAGTCTGTTAACATGTATGGGGATGGAGCAGAAATCGTCCAGGGACACTTTACCATGCCAGGCCAGTAGCACGTAGTCTGGAATCATTGCATAACAAAGCCATGTGTTCATAGTGCTCATAATTGCCGCGGTGATCTGAGCTGGCTCCATGATCCCAGTGCATCTGGGCTGCAAAAAGGCACAAAACTATTGTCTGACAGAGGGAGGGAGGGGTGAGTGACGACAAGGCTTACAGGTACAGGGAATTAAAATCAACAAAGGTGGCTGTGCATCAGGGAGAAACACAAACAACTGTCACACAGAATGGCCCCCCCAAACATTGAACTCAAAACCCTGGATTTAGCAGGCCGTTTATTTCATGGAGGGAGGGGGAAGCAAATGAATACAGAACAAATCTGGTCCATCTATTTTTTACATCTTAAGCTGGCAGCAGACGGTGCAGCATGACTGATAGTCATCGGCATCTTCTGGGTGCTTGGCAGAAGACGCTGTACTATGACTGCTAGCCATCATCGTCAAGACGGTTCAATAGGACTGCCGGCAGGACTGAGTCTCCAGGAGACAAAACATGTCTGCCCAGGTGCTTCTGATAGAACTCACTGAGGAATACGACGATGACGGATACCAGTCGTAATACACCATCTACTGCCAAAAGGCAAAGAGCTGCTGCTGTATAGTAATGCAGCCCCACGTCTGCCAGCACCCAGATCGCCGATGACAGCTGCCAGTCATACTGCACCATCTACTGCCAAAAGGCAATTAGCTGCTGCTGTGTAGCAATGCAGTACCACGTCTGCCGGCACCCAGATGACATATGGTGACGGTGAGCTGAGCGGGCTCCATGCTTGCCGTGGTATGTTGTCTGCCCAGGTAACCCAGGTAAAAAGGCGCAAATCGATTGTCTGCCGTTGCTCTGACGGAGGGGGAGGGGCCTGACGACATGTACCCAGAACCCCCCACAACACTGTTTTTGCATCATCAGGCATTGGGATCTCAACCCAGAATTCCAATGGGCGGCGGAGACTGCGGGAACTGTGGGATAGCTACCCACAGTGCAACGCTCCGCAAGTCGAAGCTAGCCTCGTTACTGTGGACGCGGTCCGCCGACTTAATGCACTTACAGCATTTTATGTGGGGACACACACAATCGAATGCGTAAAACCGATTTCTATAAAATCGGCTTCTATAAATTCGACCTAATTTCGTAATGTAGACATACCCTCTGGGGAAAACAGTTCAAGAGAGCTGGCAGTTTTTCAAAGAGACATTATTAAGGGCACAAGAGCAAACTATCCACTGCATAGGAAAGATAGGAAATATGGAAAGAGACCAGCCTGGCTTAGCCAAGAGATCTTCAATGATCTAAAAATCAAAAAAGAGCCCTAAAAAAACTAGAAACTAGGTCAAATTGCAAAGGATGAATATAAACAAATAACATAAGTATGTAAAGACAAAATTAGAAAGACCAAGGCACAAAATGAGATTAAACTAGTTAGAGACAAAGGGTAACAAGAAAACATTTTACAAATACATTAGAAGCAAGAGAAAGACTTAGGACAAGACAGGCCCGTTACTCAATGAGGGGGAAAAAACAATAACCGAAAATGTGAAAATGACAGAAGTGCTAAATGATCTTTTTGTTTTAGTTTTCACCAAAAACGTTAGTAGTAATTGGACATCTAACTTAATGAATGCCTGTGAAAATGAGGTAGGATCAGAGTCTAAAATAGAGAAAAAAACAAGTTAAAAATTATGTAGACAAATTAGATGTCTTCAAGTCACCAGGGCCTGATGAAATACATCCTAGAATACTCAAGGAGCTGACTGAGGAGGTATCTGAGACATTAGCGATTATCTTCAAAAAGTCATGGAAGATGGGAGAGATTCCAGAGGACTGGAAAAGAGCAAATACAGTGCCCATCTATAAAACGGGAAATCAGGACCACCCAGGGAATTACAACCCAGTCAGCTTAACTTCAATACCTGGAAAGATAAAGGAGCAAATAATTAATCAATCAATTTGCAAACACCTAGAGGATAATAAGGTGATAAGTAACAGTCAGCTTGGAGTTGTCAAAAACAAATCATGACAAACCAACCTAACAGCTTTCTTTGACAGGGTAACAAGCCTTATGGATGAGGAGGGAGGGGAGGAGCAGCAGAAGTGGTATATCTTGTCTTTAGTAAGGCTTTTGAAACTGTCTCACATGACCTTCTCATAAACAAGCTAGGGAAATACAATCTAGATCGAGCTACTATAAGGTGGGTGCATAACTGTTTGGAAACCGTTCCCAGAGAGTAGTTATCAGTGGTTCACAGTCAAGCTGGAAGAACATATCGAGTGGAGTCCCACAGGAATCAGTTCTGGGTCCGGTTCTGTTCAATATCTTCATCAATGATTTAGATAATGGCATACTTATAAAGTTATAAAGTTTGCGGAGAATACCAAGTTGGGAGGAGTTGGAAGTGCTTTGGAGGATAGGATTAATATTCAAAATGATTCTGGTTAAACTGAAGAAATGGTCTAAAGAAAATAGGATGAAATTTGATAAGGACAAAAGCAAAGTATTCCACTTAGGAAGGAATAATCTGCTGCACACATACAAAATGGAAAATGACTGCCTAGGAGGGACTACTGCAGAAAGGGATCTGGGGGTCATAGTAGATTACAAGCTAAGTAGGAGTCAACAGTGTAACACTGTTGCAAAAAAGCGAACATCATTCTGGGATGTACTAGCAGGAGTGCTGTAAGCAAGACACAGGAAGCAATTCTTCTGCTCTACTCTGTTCTGATTAGGCCTCAACTGGAGTATTGTGTCCAGTTTTGGGTACCATATTTCAGGAAAGATGTGGACAAATTGGAGAAAGTCCAGAAAAGAGCAACAAAAATGATTAAAGGTCTAGAAAATATGACCTATGAGGAAAGATTTAATAAATTAGGTTTTTTAGTCTGGAGAAGAGAAGACTGAAAGGGGACATAATAACAAGTACATAAAAGCTTGTTACAAAGAGGACGGAGAAAAATTGTTCTCTTTAACCTCTGAGGATAGGACAAGAAGCAATGGGCTTAAATGGCAGCAATGGTAGTTTAGGTTGGATATTAGGAAAAACTTCCTAGCTGTCAGGGTAGTTAAGCACTGGAATAAATTGCCTAGAGAGGCTGCAGAATCTCTGGCATTGGAGATTTTTAAGAACAGGTTAGACAAACACCTGTGAGGTATGGTCTAGATAATACTTAGGCTACGTCTTCACTACAGGGGGGGTGTCGATGTAAGATATGCTATTTGCGTAGCTGAATTCGACGTATCCGAGCCGACTTACCCCGCTGTGAGGACGGTGGCAAATCGACCTCCACGGCTCCCCCCTCGACGGCGCTTACTCCTACCTGTGCTGGTGGAGTACAAGCGTCGATTCGGGAATCGATTGTCGCGTCCCCACGAGACGCGATAATTCGATCCCCGAGAGATCGATTTCTACCCGCCGATTTAGGCGGGTAGTGAAGACGTAGCCTTAGTCCTGCCATGAGTGCAGGGGACTGGACTAGACCTCTCGAGGTCCCTTCCAGACCTACCATTCTATGATTTCTGACCAGTTGATTATTTAGAGAAACACAAAGTTCAGATTTAAAAGGACAAACTACTCTCAGTATGGAGTTGTCAGACCCAAATACAGTCAATCACCAAGACTGCCTCTGATGCTCACTTGACTTCAAAGCTCAAACGTTACTTGCTTTACCCATTTCCCCAGTCCATATTCTCAGTTTGAAGCTCACTGAATGACTCCAAGCCCTCCAACATAGACTGTAATACAACACAGCCCAGTGCCACTCAGAGAGACGGTATCATCTCTATACATTTCCCTCGAACGCTCCATGTTGAGACCATTCAAGACATCTCTTTCATCACAAGTGCATTTCAGAACAAAAACAGGGCCAGAAATTCCAAGGAATTGCTCTTTATTCTCTGCCTGTTAGGAACACACACAGTTTGAAATTAAAAGCTTCCCAACAATCCAAAACCCACACAGTTGTAGTTAACACAGCTCCATATTGCCTAACTTGCTAAATTAACACTCTTCTTCAAGGACTAGCCTCTCATTCTTGTCTGCTGGCAGTTGCAGATCTCCCAGCAACTGCATCAGAGGAAGAGCAACAAATTATATTTAGAAGCGATAGAAATGGGACCCTCCAGCACTGGCAGTGTCTTACCTCAATCCATGTTTGAGGCATAAGAGGCGCTGGCAAAAACAAACAACAACAACAAAGGAGTAGAATTAGTAAGAGTTGTCAGTGTTCTAATGGAATAGCTACTGGAGGAAATTCAAGACACATTGGTTTCACCACTAGACATCTTGAGCCTGTATCATCACTTATCTCATTTTGCATAGCCCTTAATGACATTGCTGAATGACCAACACTTCTACACCCCCAGCTCAAAGTTATTGAACAATAGTTCAACCATTTGTGAAGTGTGGAATTCCCTCCAAGACACAAGTGCATTTCCTGGACTGGAGATGCCATCTCTCAATTTTGAAGTAATATAATGACAGCACATTTCTTCTTCTCTGTCACCTATTAGTAAGAGTCAGCTTTATAGGCTGACATTCTTTGCTGCTGTGGTGTTTTGTTTGTATATGAACTTACTTAGAGTAACAGTCAACTGATCTGCCCAGATAAGAGGTTCTGTCCCTTGCCCTCTTTGGAACAATTTAAAGCCCATTTTCATTTATGTCAATTTTAGTTTTTCTAGCCATCTCTCCTAAACTTCACCAGCAATTCATCACCAATATAGGCCATTACACACACATGTATTACAATGAAAATACTTGGAGATCTGGTCCAGGTTGCCAAGTGTTACTGTTTATCCCATAAATCAAGCATCATCTCACAGAAACTAATGAAACTCCCCCAAATGTACAAAACACCAGTAGTGTATGATGGGAGTGTTTCATTTTCCTCTGGAGCACGGACCAGCTGTCAGATCCAATATGCCAAACTCTATGTTCTTAACCAAATGACGCTAAGGTATTAAATGTAGATTACTTCTGCTAGAAGGAACTTAAGGAGTGAATGACTGTCTGCCGAAGAGCATTCATTTTGTTTTTGTGTTAATAGCATTTGGATGTTCTCTGCTTCAGTATGACAACTATTTACCCCCCAGTAAAATTCACAGTACTTCCATATGAACAAGATTGTACAGAACAGAACAAAGGCAACATATGAAGTTTATATTGAGGGCATGTCTACACGGCCTTGGAGTTTGGGCTACAGGGGATGTGAATAGTAGTACACATGAAAGTCCCATGCTGTAACTCCCCCCTTGCGGATACTGCAGGTGCGAACTAAAAGGTTTCTAGTTAATGCAGAACCTTGGTGCGCACAGCTGTTCACACCCCTGTAGTCTGAACTGCGGGGCAATGTAGACATGCTCCAAGTCACTGTGCCTGTCTAAGGTTATGTCTACACTGCACGCTAAGCGTAGTCTGTGGGACCTGGGCTTGTGGACTCTGTTTCCAAGCCTGTGCTTGAGTGTTTACACTATATTGTAAAGCTAGATTTACAATTGCTGGACCCAGGTCTCAAAGCTGTGCTAATGAATCCACACTGCACTATGCAGGCCTTCCAATTCGGGTCTGCAGCTTGAACTATGTCCACACTGTGACAGGGCTTGGACCAGAGCTTCAGTAGGAATCAGGCTCTGACTTGCCACCCAGCAAAGTCCTAGGACCCGGTCCTGAGTGCTACCTGACCCGAGTCAGACTGATCTGTGTGTGGACAGAAGCAGGGCTTGGACTCAAGCCTGCGTTAGAGCCTGGGCTTCCTGGGCAATGTAGGTATACCCTGAGTGAACAACTTCCTTCATCAGCCTTCCATTGTAAGCCTCTTGAAAGAGGAAGTGTCTGTCTTAAACATATGGAATGTCCCGAGCACATATTTGTTCATGTTATTGCCCACTAATAGCCATCATCAGAGAATCACATACAAATTACATGTACCTTACATGAATGAACATACCTTATTTAGCTTGGTATTTCCCTGGGCAGCCACAGCTTTCTTTTTTTAAATGAAGTTATACCTCAAGCTTTGTGCACAATGGATAAGCCAAAAATAAAGCTAATTCACTTACATTTCCTCTTATCACCCCAATGCAGATTTTCTCATTAGGTCAGCATTTAAAAGTGTTTCCTTCCCCGCCACCGCATTCTAGAGTATGGTGCTAATTGGAATACTTTTAGGAACAGACACTTCCAAATTGGTAAAGAACAAAAATATTGCATCAAACAAAGATTGTCTTTGTGAACCCTCAAGATACCCTACAGCACTTTGCTTCTGTCAATACCTGGCAGCTGAAAATTTTATTTTCGTGACCAGAACAATGATACTCTGGGCCTCCCCTATAGACTTCTATGTCATATTAGGAAAAGGGGGTGTCCAGGGTGGGGCGCGAAGACTTTGGAGGAATAAGATCATGCCCCAAAAATGAAAGCTCAACTAGATGTGACTACTCAAACTAGCAGTCTCAACACAGATGCCCTTGAGACATTTTAGTATCTCTGTGAATCACATGCCATTCCAGGAAATCTTACCCCTTCCCTGCACTATTGACATGATTTCAGAGTTACGAGCCCTGAAGCAGCAACCAAAATGAAACAGAGCGTTGTCAAATACTGTTTTGCACTCTATCAGTTGTTGAGCATGTCCACCAGCGACTGCTTTCAAAAACTCATGAAGTGATTACTTAGCTATTGAAGTTAATGGGTCAATTGATGTCTGGTGCTGCCCAGCTTGTAGAATTTGTGCTGTGTGTTTGATAGAGGTGCTTTTTATAAAGTGGTACTATGACTCAAAATAGCAGAATGTTTTTTCAAGACGAACAGCTGGGAATGTGATGAACTTTTTTGTTGTTGAAAAATGCCAACTCATTGAAACAAACTTTTTGTGGTAAAGGCACCATTTTGACATATTTCCTGACTCAAAAATTGTAGTACCGAACCAACCAATCAAACCCTTGAGTGATTTCCTTCTTTGTTGATTTGTGTTTTTTTGTTATTGAATGTCTTTAAAAACATCTTTCTGTTCAATTGTCACATCAGACTACTCACCTGTTACTTCCTATCATCCAACAGTAAGTTGTACAGCTGAACAACAAAGAAAAAATGAAAAGGGAGTTAAGTCCAGACTTATTCATTAACCAGCATCTCAACTTTTTCTCTCTCTCACCCCTCCTCCCCCAAATTCAGAGAGAGTCAGTGAACCAAGAAGCAGCAAAAGGATTTCACAAAGAGACTTCTCCCCAACACAAACCAAAAAAGGCTAGCTAAAGCTTATTCCCCCCCACCCCACACCCCTACCTGAGCCAGGTTCTGTGCTGCATCTTTCAGGCTTTGAGCCACCTTTGTCCCTGTCTTCTTCAGCTTACTCCAGCAGCCAGCCTCCAGCACTAAGGAGAGTAGTCCTACGTGCTGCACTAATTCATAACAGCCTTGGGCTGCCCCACAACTCAGACTAGCCAGAGAGTTCTGTACTTTGGCCACTCCCACCCCTCAGTCTCCCTCTGATTCCAGCAGGAGTTATGATTTGGGTAGTGTAACGCTGTTGTGCAAACGCTACCCTGCTCCTGCCCTGGAGGGAATTCCCCAAGGGTGCCATAGCAGGGGCCATAGCCTGACCCAATAACTTCAATGAGAGCTGCACCTAGAACTCCGAGGAGATAGTTTGGCCTTTTGAGCTGGGACAGGAAGCGGCCTTGACTGGATAATTCAAATAAACTTAACACTCCACATAACTGCAGCTGACTCTGAACAACAATTAAAGCAAATCTATTCCATGCTACAAACCGACAGTACCCTGAATGAACACAGTTAGACAAATATATAGATGCTTAAGCTACAGAATTGGTCTGATATATCTCAGTATTATAAATCCACTTAATTCTGGAACTGGCAATAATAACTTCATTTGCCACTATAGTATCTATCGAGACCCTTGGGAAAAAGAGCACATTTTTATTGCGACCTAATTTAATTAGCACAGCCCGAACCAAAACTCAGCAGTGAATGGCAAGCCATTTGCCAAACGATCACTTTCTTTGATGCTGTTAAGGATTTCCTGAAGGCAGTTAGAGAAACATTTCATACACATGAAACTTTGATACTGATATCCATGAGAAAAGCAATTATACTTCAGTCAATGCTCAGGGACACACACATCTCACTGCTTGGTAATGAAGCACCCATTGTAAAACTTTACCCCCACAATATGGTATAGCGGGTTTGGGGTTTTATTGGGAAGAGTAGACATTTTAAAGGGCAAAAGCCTGCCCTTCTTTGTCCTTGTTCAACCTGGGGATTTGTCTCAAGTATAGCTATAAAGTAGCCAGCCACCAGTATGGCTGCACTCATGCAAGTCCTTAGAGTAGGCAGGCAGCTGAACCAATGCAGCTGATCCCTGCTGGAAACAGGTAAGCCCCACCAGTGCAAATAATTGTTTTTCCTGTTTGCTCCCTCCGTGGCGCTATGCTAACGGCCTCACCCTCTGTGTAGACAGGGCCCTACACAGGATATAAGAAAATACCTGTTTTTAAGATCCCATGAACATGGCATTTATAAATTTAAAATTTTAAAACATGCATATAACTGAGTTCTTCTACAAGCGCTAGATAAAATTTAGGTGATTAACAGCTGCCTTACCTTTACTAAAATAAATGTCATTTGATATTTGTTATGCAAACTAAAGATTATTTGCTATTCTGTAGTCTGGAAAACTAAGGTGATAAAGAGGCAGGTTATGTATTTGATCAGTAGCTAAATAGCCTTTAATTAATTAGCCAAATAGCTGCTCATCACCCAGCTCTATAGAGATCCATACTGGCTCGATACTGACAGAATTATGTATATAGACTACACACTATCTGTCTTTCATGAGTGACTAATTAGAATTAGTTCAAATTGTCAGAGGCTGGTATTTTTTATTTAACTGGGAAATGCAACCAAGATATGTAGTTTAAATATGAGAAGGCTGCCATTTACTAGAAATACAAGATAGGATGAAATTAATGCTGTACTTTGCTGACTATTCTCAGACAAAATTAGGAGATTTGAGGTCTGCAAAGCCCAGTGTTCACACTGGTTCTTGAAAAAGGGAAGAAGAGAGCTTCAGCTGCCTGGACACAGTTATTCAACTGCACAATATTTGGAAATCACGGGCTGTGTACTGCCATCTATCTGTGGCGGAACTCCCACTGATCAAGGGCATCTGTGTAATAAAAGGCAATCTATAATCTTTAATATATCAGTCTAACTGTATGCACTTATTTAGTATATAAATGTAGGCACAAAAAAGGCATTGCAATTAATTTCATCATGGATTTCTATATCAGAGAAAGAACCATTTTATATAAATACCGATAAGGGTTGTTTACAACATAGAGTAAGATGCTTTAGTGCACTTATTTTAAAAAAGATTTATTCCCCCACAGGTTTTGACTTACATATTTTTAAACTATTCATTAAACGCCTAGGTAACCATCCAACCAAACAGAGCAAACAATAGTGATGTTCTAGGCCCCAATCTGCGTGGGCAGAACTTTGGCCTACTAGCAGCAAGGATTGCTTTCTATTTGCAGAAAGCCGAACACCCTTGCCCCGCCCCTTCTCCGAGGCTACGTCCCCGCTCACTCCATCCCCCCTCCCTCCATCGCTCGCTCTCCCCCACCCTCGCTCACTCACTCATTTTCACCGGACTGGGACCGTGGGTTGGGGTGCGAGAAGGAGTGAGGGTTCCGGCTGTGGGCTCTGGGGTGGGGCCAGAGATGAGGAGTTTGGGGTACAGTAGGGGGTTCAGGACTGAGGCAGGGGCATGGGAGGGGGTGCAGGCTCTGGGCGGCACTTACCTCAGGTGGCCCCTGGGAAGCAGTGACAGCTCCCTTTGGCTCCTAGACGGAGGCGCGACCATGGGGCTCTGCATGCTGCCTGTGCCTGCAGGCACCACCCCCTCAGCTCCCATTGGCCGTGGTTCCTGGCCAATTAGAGCTGTTGAGCTGGCTCTGGGGGCGGGAGCAGCACGCAGAACCCCTGTGGCTATCCCTCCGCGTAGGACCCAGAGGGAGATGCCAGCAGCTTCCCAGGAGTCACGCGGAGCCAGGGAGGGAGCCTGCCTGTGCCGTCAACTGGACTTTTAACGGCCCGGTCAGCGGTGCTGCCTGGAGCCACAAGGGTCCCTTCCTGACCGGGCGTTCCAGTTGAAAACTGGACACCTGGCAACCCTATTGACACCCCACTGTAGTAAACTGCTCCATGCAAGTTGATGGGTTCTCCTGCACAAAATAGTTCTACACAACTGGGGCCCAAACACGGGACAAATTGCTAATTGTGAATATTCACAGCTAAATGTTTGCAAGCCATGTGCAGATCTGGAGAAGTTATGAATTTGAATATATTGGACAGTATTGTTTATTGTGATCTGTTCGCTGACCATGCGCAAACACAATGAAAAGGCAAAAAAAGGTTTTTTTATTTGTAGTGATTTATTTGCTCAGTTACAAATAAATTATTTGTCCACCTGTCCTTTACAGAGTAGTCTTTTCAATCTTCTGAGTACTGAATCTCCAGCAAGGATTGTCTATCTTCCTTGGACAGTTTGAGAATTCTTTGTGGGCAAGCTTGATTTTCTTATGGGTTGGGCTGAGCTGCCATCCACATGTGTGTCCCGTACATCTGTCCATTCCCTTAGACCTGCTAGATCTTAGAGGTATCTTCTAAATTTGCCATATTGAGGACCTGATATCAATTTGAAACTTCTAGTGACATGGAATTCCTCCTGGTCTTCTTTTGGATGGCTACAACCTGCCCATCTGCATCTGTCTCCACCCATCTAGAACACTGCCGTCACCTCCTGCCTCTGGTGATTACAGACCACCAGGCCTCCTCTGACTTCCTTTCTCTCAGATTCCTGGTGGCCTGCTCCATTCTTCCTTGAACCTGGGGTATTGGTGTTTCCTGAACATGGTTGCCTAGGAATTCCTGAGCTTTTCAGTAGCATCTTAACCTGCCCCTGCAATCCAACAATCTTTTCCTCCAGCACAGCCACCAACTTGCACTTCATGCACATGAAATCCCGTCGGTTTTCAGGCAAACCACTATTCCATCACTGGCCATCTTTATATCTCATGTAGTGCTACACCTGGAAGGGAAGCCTCTCCCATACTCCCTCCAAAACTCCTATTTTCACTGGCTCTTGAGTTTGCCTACCAGGTGGCTTTTTATACCAGTCTTCCCCGCTTAGCTCAGCTCCGCCCCTCACCACCAGGGAGCAATTACAGAAAGCGCGTGTGAAATATGTCCTTATGCTCAGCCTCCCCTTCTGTAACGTGTTTCAAGATGTAATCAGTAAGTTCACTGTTGTTATCGTGCATTACTACAGCTGCTAAACAGAACTGCAGCACTCAGTATTATAGTTGGTTAAGGAGTGGCTTGGCGGGGGCTTGTTTAGAGAGCCAATAGGATTTGTCATTGTTGAAAAACCTGGCCCTTAAAGGCAGGCCACTCTGTTACAGTTGTAAAGCGCTACATAAATGCCAAGTATCTGTGTGTATGAAGAGTGACTTTCTTGACAATAGATCTCATCCTACTTCGTTAGTTCAGTAATGTCATATCACTAGCTCAATGATACTCACTAATAGTCACCAACTAGCATGTACAGCAGGCAAGCCTTGCTTAAGGTAAAAAGTTTGTTTTCTGAATGTACAAAACCTGCTGAGCTATGACCTTCTCTTGCAAACCTTCTCTTAATGTTTATGAAGACACAAATACTATTAGCCAGATTGTAACACAAGGCTGGCTGTTCTGTTGCACATAGAATTTAATGTAAAATTTCCTTGAGGCAAGACAGCTGGGTTACCAACTTTGAAAGTGTGCCCTTAAACATATTGCTGTGTTATCTACCAAGAGGCAGTTAATTCTGATTACCGACTGTGTATGTGCAAGACAAAACATTACTTAAAAAAGTCAGAATGTAAGCAGCAATCCATTGATAACACACTTTAAAAAAAAAACAAAAAAACATTCATTATGGAGATTTTGCCAAAATGTAAATGCCATGCGTTTCTATAGTAACAACATAAAATCAGATCCAGAAGATGAAGGCTGAATATAAAGTATTTGTTTAATTATAAACTGAATACATTATAAAACTCTTTATTTCCAGTGCTATGTGCAATGTAACAGAAAATTCTCTAATCATAGTATATATTGTCCAGTAAAGAAGCATGTTTGGAAAAAACAACTAAACAAGTAAACTGGTGTTATAAGCAACTCAGAAACAAATCCAAACGTCAACTCCCAGGGGTATGTGTAAACTAGATCCACTGTTTTCAAACATGCATCCATAGAATGATGTCCTACATTTCAGCAGTGAAGATATTAATTGTAGTTAAAAACAAAAACCATACACTGGTTTTCAACAGCTTGTGGCCACTGCTCTCGTCCAGTCACAGACTTATGATGA